GATTTCTTAATTTTTTCATTTTTTAATTGTTTGTTTTTTCAGTTTTTGTTTCTTCAATTGCTCGATTTTTCAATATTTCAATTTTTGAATTTTAAAATTTTTCGACTTTTGCATTTTCGATTGCTCGATTTTTAAGTTGCGGTTTCTCGGTTTCTCAATTTTTCCATTTCTAGATTTCTTGATTTCCCGGTTTTTCGATTATACAATTTTTCGATTTTTGAAATTTTATGTTTTTTAGTTTTTCAAATTTTTTATTTTTCGATATTTTGGTAGTTTCGGTTTCTCGATCTTTCAAATCCTCGATTTTTCAATTTTTCGAATTTACGATTTCCTGTTTTCGCAATTTTTCTATTTTTTTGATTTTTCGATTGCTCAATTTTTCGTTTTTTTATATTTTTCACTTCATTTATTCTCCGATTTTTTATTTTTCAGTTTTTCCGTTTTTCGATATTTTGATGTTTTGATTTCACAATTTTTCGATTTTTCAATTACTCAATTTCTCAATTCTTCGATTTATAGATTTTTCAATTTTTCAATTTTCTGATATTTCAGTTGTGGGTTTTTCAGTTTTTCTTTGACTCTACAATTTTTAAGTTTTTTGAATTGTTGATTTTTCGTTTCGGTTTCCCGATTTTTTGATTTTTCAGTTTTTCCTTTCAATTTTTCGATTGTTGAATTTTTGAAGTTTTCGATTTTTCCATTTTTTAATTTTTCGATTTTCCGATTTCTTTATTTCTCAGTTTTTCGATTATTCAATTTTTCGATTTTTGAAATTTTAGATCAAGATTTTAGTTTCTCCATTCCTAAATTTTTCAATATATAATGACATTTCGATTTTCGTTTCTATTTTTGGATTTGTTCTTTTCTGGATTTTTCAATTTTTCGATTTTTTAATTGTTTGTTTTTTCAGTTTTTGTTTTTTTAATTGTTCGATTTTTCAATTTTTTAATTTTCGATTTCCCGTTTTCGCAGTTTTTCAAGTTTTTTGATTTTTCAATTGTTGAATTTTTCAATGTTTCGTTTTTTTATATTTTTTACTTCATTTAGTCTCCGATTTTTCTTTTTTCTATTTAGATTTTTCAGTTTTTCAATTCTTCAATTTTTTATTTTTCAGTTTTTCGGTTTTTCGATATTTTGATGTTTTGATTTTTCGACTTTTCAATTACTCAATTTCTCAATTCTTCGATTTATAGATTTTTCGATTTTTCAATTTTCTGATATTTCAGTTTTGGGTTTTCCAGTTTTTCTTTGACTATAATTTTTCGATTTTTGAATTTTTAAAGTTTTCGATTTTTCCGTTTTTTAAGTTTTCGATTTTTCGATTTCTTTATTTCTCAACTTTTCGATTATTAAATTTTTACGATTTTTGAAATTTTAGATGTAGATTTTAGTTTCTCGATTCCTAAATTTTTCAGTAAATAGACATTTCGATTTTCGTTTCTATTTTTGCATTTGTTGATTTCTAGATTTTTATAATCGAAAAACCGGGAAATCAAGAAATCGCAAAATCGAAAAATTGAGAAACCGAGAAACCGAAACTTAAAAATCAAGCAATCGAAAATAGAAAGTCGAAAAATTTTAAAATTCAAATATTGAAATATCGAAAAATCGAGCAATTAAAGAACTAAAAAATTTAAAAATCGAAAAATTAAGAATATAGAAATAGGAAGAGAAATCTGTAAATCAAAAATTCGAGAAATAGAACAAACTGAAAATTCAGGAATCGAGAACCTAAAATCTTCATCTAAAATTTCAAAAATCAAAAAATTGAATAATCGACAAACTGAGAAATAAAGAAATCGGAAAATCGAAAAATCGAAAAATTAAAAAATTGAAAAATCGAAAACTTCAAAAATCGAAAAATTGAAAGGAAAAACTGAAAAATTGGAGAGTCAAAGAAAAACTGGAAAACCCAAAACTGAAATATCAGAAAATTAAAAAATCAAAAAATCTATAAATCGAAGAATTGAGAAATTGAGTAATTGAAAAATCGAAAAACTGTGAAATTGAAAAATCAAAATATCTAAAAACTGAAAAATAAAAAATAGAAGAATTGAAAAACTAAAAAACCAAAATAGAAAAAAGAAAAATCGGAGAATAAATGAAGTGAAAAATATAAAAAAAACGAAAAATTGAATAATTGATCAATCGAAAAATCAAAAAAAAAATCGAAAAACTGCGAAAACGGGAAATCGAAAATTCGAAAAATTGAAAAATCGAGGAATTGAAAGATCGAGAAACCGAAACAACAAAAAAATCGAAAAACCAAAAAACATACAATTTCAAAAATAGAAAAAATGTATAATCGAAAAACCGGGAAATCAAGAAATCGCAAAATCGAAACATTGAGAAACCGAGAAGCCGAAACTTAAAAATCAAGCAATCGAAAATGGAAAAATCGAAAAATTTTAAAATTCAAAAATTGAAATATCCAAAAATCGAGCAATTAAAGAAACAAAAACTGAAAAAACAAAAAATCGGGAAATCGAAATGAAAAATCAAAAATTCAAAAAACTGAAAAATTGTAGAGTCAAAGAAAAACTGGAAAACCCACAACTGAAATTTCAAAAAATTGAAAAATCGAAAAATCTATTAAGTCGAAGAATTGAGAAATTGAGTAATTGAAAAATCGAAAAATTGTGAAATTGAAAAATCGAAACTTCAAAAAATCGAAAAATCCAGAAATCAGAAAATTCAAAAATTCAAAAATCGGAAATCGAAAAATTCACATAACAAGGAATCGAAAATCTGAAAAATGCCGATCCTTACATATAGAAAAATCGAGAAATCTATAAAGGTGAGAAGTTGTGAAAAATCGAACCATCAAAAAATCAAAAAATCGAAAAATCCAGAAATCAACAAATCCAACAATAGAAACGAAAATCGAAATGTCGATATATTGAGAAATTCAGGAATCGAGAAACTAAAATCTTCATCTAAAATTTCAAAAAATCGAAAAATTAAAAAATGGAAAAAACGAAAACTTTAAAAATTCAAAAATCGAAAAGTTGAAAGGAAAAACTGAAAAATCAAAAAATCGGGAAATCGAAACGAATAATCAAAAATTCAAAAAACTGAAAAATTGTAGAGTCAAAGAAAAACTGGAAAACCCAAAACTGAAATATCAGAAAATTGCAAAAAAATCGAAAAATCTATAAATCGAAGAATTGAGAAATTGAGTAATTGAAAAATCGAAAAATTGTGAAATCGAAAAATCAAAATATCGAAAAACCGAAAAAATGAAAAATCCCAAACAAAAATAAAAAATAAAAAATTCAAAAAACTGAAAAATTGTAGAGTCAAAGAAAAACTGGAAAACCCACAACTGAAATATCAAAAAATTGAAAAATCGAAACGTCGATATATTGAAAAATTCAGGTGTCGATATATTGAAAAATTCAGGAATCGAGAAACTAAAATCTTCATCTAAAATTTCAAAAATTAAAAAATGGAAAAATCGAAAACTTTAAAAATTCAAAAATCGGAAAATTGAAAGGAAAAATCAAAACTTCAAAAAACTGAAAAATTGGAGAGTCAAAGAAAAACTGGAAAACCTAAAATTGAAATATCAAAAAATTGAAAAATCGAAAAATCTATAAGTCGAAGAATTGAGAAATTGAGTAATTGAAAAATCGAAAAATTGTAAAATCGAAAATTCGAAACTTCAAAAAATCGAAAAATCCAGAAATCAGAAAATTCAAAAATCGAAAAACTGAAAGGAATAACTGAAAAATAAAAAAATCGGGAAATCGAAACGAAAAATCAAAAACTCAAAAAACTGAAAAATTGTAGAGTCAAAGAAAAACTGGAAAACCCAAAACTGAAACATCAGAAAATTGAAAAAAATCGAAAGATCTATAAATCGAAGAATTGAGAAATTGAGTAATTGAAAAATAAAAAAATTGTGAAATCGAAAAATCAAAATATCGAAAAACCGAAAAACTGAAAAATCCCAAAACAAAAATATCGAAAAATAGAAAATCGAGAAATCGAAAAATCGAAAAATCCCAAACGGAAATATCGGAAAATTGAGTAATTGAAATAAATAGTCGAAAAATCAAAACATCAAAATATCGAAAAACCGAAAAACTGAAAAATAAAAAATGAAGAATTGAAAAACTAAAAAATCAAAGTAGAAAAAAGAAAAATCGGAGAATAAATGAAGTAAAAATATAAAAAAACGAAAAATTGAAAAATTGAGCAATCAATAAATCAAAAAATTGAAAAATTGCGAAAACGGGAAATCGAAACAACAAAAAAATCGAAAAACTAAAAACCATACAATTTCAAAAATCAATGATTTCTGGATTTCTGGATTTTTCGATTTTTTGAAGTTTCGATTTTTCGATTCTCCAATTTTTCAATATCGACTTACGATTTTTTAGTCTTTATTTTTCATGTTTTAAGTTTGTGGTGAAAAGAAGTCTACACATCTTAAAACAAAAAGGCATAATGTAATTTTTTTTTAAGGAAATATTGATTTTGCAATTAGGCTCCGACCCTAGGTCGAATGAAAACTTCATTATTACTTAGATCAGGGCAGGTATGGGTGGCGCTTAATATTTGGCTTCATTTTTTTTTTTTAATATATATACAATTATACATGGTATTCTTTGAAGAACACGACACTCAAAAACATGTTTTTAATTTCTCGTAGAGAAATAAGGATTTTGCAGTTTAAGCTCCGCCTTCTTGGCTCACGACGAATAAAAAAAATCATCACACTCGAGACAGGGCGGGTGGGCGGGGCTTATGTTTTCCCTTTTTTCTTAATATACGTAGTCGTCTTTTCAAGACAAGAAACTTAAAACATATTACATTTACTATGTAATTGAATTGACGTCATCACATTATTGGGGGGGATTATTAGACATATTTTGGTTAGCGTTTTACCATCTACATGATATTCCTAACATAAATACAAAATTTGATAATAATCGGGCCAGGACAGACAGACGGACGGACGGACGGACTGACAGACTAAGAAAATTGGCACGTACCTGAATCATCAGACACCGTCGAATAATGCTGATCCACATCCCTCTTCTTATTCAATTCTTTCGTTTGCGCCATGATATTCGCCAAGGGCTCTCGGACGCTAATACTCGTGTACCCCTCTGAAACAAAACACGTCTACCAACCACCACTAAACCAAAACCCCAACATTACTGGAAGAATCCTGTGAATCCCCACTAAAATTAGGTTGCGTAACGGGCGGCGTCATGTAAGGCAATTCTGGACTAGCGGCGATACCTCCAGCCACAGCCGACGCAGCTGGAATATCCACACCCAACCCGCTATGGGCGGATGATCTTCGAGATCTGGGTGGAGCTGACGGCTCCGAGGACGTACTCGATCCATCAGGTCTATCACCAACAAATGACTTAACTTAAGTACCCCCTCGCTCAAAATCGGACCCATACCTCAACAAACTCGTTCGTTCTTCGCAGCCGAGCTTCGCCTCCTCCAGGACGGCTTGCCGGCTCGTGGTGGGCTGCAGCTGCGCGTAGGGGTGTTCTTTGGATTTGATTTTGTCGTATTTGACCTTCTCGTACGGGGAGGAGGTGTCGTCGGCTTGGCTAATGGAGCTGTGCTGGGAGATGCTAGGCCGCGTTTCGATGCCGTTGTGTGTGGTGTGTCTTTTGGCTGTGGAGAGGTCAAAATGGTGATTGGGGTTTGGATGGAGGTGGATTGTACCGTTCTGGAACTGACCCACTGTGGCGTAATGCTCGGAGGAGTTGTCGCCGGTGGGTTCCCAGTTGACGGCGGCTCCTTGTTCCGAGGGGATGTCGGGAAGGCTGCGTCGGGTCGTGCTGGCGGGAACGTTTCTGGAATTGTCACTTTTAAAACGTGATGGGTACGGGTGCGCACTCTGGGAAACGGACATGCGCATGCATTTGATAATCTAATGTGAATGGTAGGGTGAAATTTGGAAAATTATGAAGCGCCTTTCACTTTTCAATCCTGATTTTTTTTAGAATTTTTGGACGACTTTTTCAAAAATCAAATTTTCCACTATGTATATCCTTTTTTAAAATTTTCTAATTTTCAGTGTTTTTAGTTTTCACTCTCTTTCTCAAATTTCTGAATCAATTTTTAGATCTTCAATTTTTTGGTTTTGCCATTTCCCGATTTTTCGATTTTGCCACTTCTAGATTTTTGATTAATTGAAAATTACTCCATTCAACAATTTTTTGATTTTCGTTTCCTACATATTTTAATTTTTCGTTTTTTAATTTTTTTTATTTTTCGATTTTTCAATTTTTAATTTCTGGGAATTCTGATCCTTAGATTTTTCCATTTGCTCGATTTTTAAATTCTCAATGATTCCTTTTTATCAAAAGTTGAGAAGTTGGAAAATTAAAAATCGAAAAACAAAAAATCGGTAAAAACTGAAAAATCGAAAACCTGAAAAAACTAAAAATTGCAAAATCGAAAAAGTGGAAAAACGAGAAATTATAAATCGAAGAACTGAAGAAACGAAAAATTGAAACACTGAAAAACCAAAAATCGAGAAGTTGAAAAATCGAAAAAAGTGGAAAAACTGGAAAGAAAAAAAACGTATCGAAAAACTGAAAAACCCAAACATTGTGAAAAATTGTGAAGCCGAAAAAGTGAAAAATCCAATAGATGAAAAAGATTTATTGAAGAATTGAAAAATGGAAAAATTCTAAAATCGTGAAATTGAAATAATGAAATATTTTTAAAGTTATAATTATTATTACGTATTTAAAATGAAAACAAAAAAAAAAAATAACAAGTAAAACAGCGAAAAATTGAAAAATCCGAAACGAAAATTTCCACACCGAAAACAAATTATAAAACCAGAACTGAAGAAACGAAAAATTGGAACAGTGAAATATTAAATACCAAGAAACTGAAAAATTGAAAAAAATTAATGAATCGAAAAACTGGAAAGAGAAAATATATATGAATCGAACCGAAAAATTAGAAAACACAAACATTTGTAGAATCGAAAAATTAACTTGGAAAATTAAAAAATGGAAAAATTCTAAAATCGTAAAATTAAAAAACTGATTCATTTTAAAAATTACATTTATTATAACACTTAAAATGAAAACTAGAAAAATTGCAAATGAAAACTTGAAGAAACGAAAAATTCAAAAATCGGGAAACTGGAAGCTCTAATCTAAAACTGAAAAAACGAAAAATGCAACAATTGGAAAATCCAAAAATTGAAAAATTCCATATTGAAAAAAATAAAATCAAAACACACTGAAAAACCAAAAAATACAAAAATTAATAAAAAACCGAAAAGAAAAATTTTACATCGAAAAACTGAAAAATAAAACATTAAAAACTCGTGCAATTGCAAATATAAAAATTGCAGAATCTAAAAATTGAAACACCTAAAAATTGGAAAATCGAAGAAATTGAAGCAACGAAACATTGAAAAAATTGAAACTGACAAAACAAAAAACTAAAAAATCAGACCATCGAAGAATTGCAAATCCAAAATTTGAAGAAATGAAAAACTAAAGAATCGAAAAACTGAAAAATTGAAAATTCAAAACTTTTTGATTTTAAATCGAAAAATTGTAAAATTTAGAAACTGCAGAACCAAAAAAAATCAAAAATTAAAAAATCGCAAATTAAACATTGAAGTAACCAAAAAATTGACAAAATTCACATTTAAAATACAAAAAATTATAAAATTGAATGATTGAAAAAAATTTAAAAAAAAACGGAAACGAAAAATTGAAATAGAAAACTCGAGAAACTCAAATCGAAAAATTGCACATTTCGACTCATTTTCTGCGATTTTAGAAATTCAAGTAAACACATTTTCCTGTAGATTTTGGGCCGCAGAAGTCACTTTCTTCGATAACTCCAACCGTTTTTCTAAAATCGTCCATTGAAATACCGCAAATTTTAAAAATTTCAAAAAATTCGAATTTCACATCGAATATTCCGAAAATATTGCCATAAACAAGTTATATCTCTGGAATCAGCACGTCAAGATCTATAAATCTGATTTTTTGAGAATTTTTAGACGACTTCTAAAAATTAAATTTTCCACTATCTACACCCTTTTCTATTTTAAAATTTTCTAGTTTTCAGTGTTTTTAGTTTTCACTCTCCCTGATTTTACTCTTTTATTTTTCTATTTTTCAATGTTTTGATTTTTCACTGTTTCGCTTTTACCATTTTCCATATTTTAATTTTACAAGTTTTTGAATCAATTTTTAAATCTTCAATTTTTCGATTTTGCCAATTCTCGATTTTTTCGTTTTTTCAATTTTCGCTGTCAACATTTTTATATTCCGTTTTTTAATTTTTCCATTTTTCAATGTGTTGGTTTTTAAATTTTACATTTTCATTTAATCACTCGATTCAACAATTTTTTGATTTTTCGTTTCCTGCATATTTTAATTTTTCGTTATTTCTTATTTTTTTAATTTTTCGATTTTTAATTTTTCAATGACTCCTCTTTCGGTTTTTGGACTTTTTAGTTTCTCGATTTCTCTATTTTTCTATTTTCCAATGTACTGATTTTGCACTTTTTCAGTTTCCCAATTTTAATCTTTCGATTTTTGAATTTTTCGTTTCTTCAATATTTCAAGTTCAGGTTTACAGTTATATACATTTTTTTTACCAAAAAGTTGTGAAGTTAGAAAATTAAAAATCGGAAAAATTGACAATTCGGAAAAATTGAAAAATCGAAAAACTGAAAAAACTAAAAATTGCAAAATCGAAAAGGTGGATAATCGCAAAATTACAAATCGAAGAACTGAAGAAACGGAAAATTGAAACATTAAAAAACCAATAAATGAAAAAGATTTATATTGATAAATGGAAAAATTCTGAAATCGTAAAATTGAAATAATGAAATATTTTTAAAGTTATAATTATTATTACGTATTTAAAATGAAAACAAGAAAAACTACAAATCAAAAATTGAAGAAACGAAAAACTGAAAAAATTAACAATTAAAACACCTAAAAGTTGAAAAATCGAAAAATTAAAAACCGAAAAATTGAAAAATCCGAAACGAAAATTTCCACTCCGAAAACAAATTATAAAACCAGAACTGAAGAAACGAAAAATTGGAACAGTGAAATATTAAATACCAAGAAACTGAATAATTGAAAAAAATTAATGAATCGAAAAACTGGAAAGAGAAAATACGAATCGAATCGAAAAATTAGAAAACACAAACATTTGTAGAATCGAAAAATTAACTTGAAAAGTGAAAAATGGAAAAATTCTAAAATCGTAAAATTAAAAAACTGATTCATTTTAAAAATTACATTTATTATAACACTTAAAATGAAAATTACAAAAATTGCAAATGAAAACTTGAAGAAACGAAAAATTCAAAAATCGAGAAACTGGAACCTCTAAAACTCAAAAAAAAAACGAATAATTAAAACACCTAAAAGTTGAAAAATCAAAAAATTCAAAGATTGGAAAATCCAAAAATTCAAATATTCCATACTAAAAAAATTAAATCAGAACATTGGAAAACCAAAAAATGAAAAAAAAAAATAAAAATCCGAAACGAAAAATTGAAAAATTAAAAGCTCGTCAAACTGCAGAATAATCGAAAAATTGCCGAAGCTAAAAATTGAAACACCTAAAATTTGAAAAATCGTAAAAATGAAAAATTTAAAAATTAAAACTCGAAAAATTGAAGCAACGAAAAATTAAAAAATTAAATTGAAAAAATGCAAATCGAAAATTTGAAGGAATGAAAAATTAAAGAATCGAAAAATTGAAAAATTTAGATACTGTAGAACCAAAAAAAAACGAAAAATTTTAAAAATCGCAAATCGAAACATTGAAGAAACCAAAAACTGAAAAAATTAAAATTTGAAATACATATGTACAAAAAATTATAAACTCGAAATTTAAAAACAAACGAGCAATTGAAAAAAATTAAAAAAACAGAAATTAACAATTGAAATTGAAAACTCGAGAACTCAAATCGAAAAATTGCACATTTCGACTATTTTCAACGATTTTCGAAATTCAACTAAACACATTTTCTTGTAGATTTCGGGCCGCAGAAGTCACTTCCGGCCTCATTTCTTTGATAACTCTAACCGTTTTTCCAGAATCCCCATTGAAATATCGCGCTTTTTGAAAATTTCAAAAAATTCGAATTTCACACCGATTATTCCGAAAACATTGCTCCATGATCATAAACAAGCTACATTTTTGGAATCAGCACGTCGGGATCTATATTCTTGAATATTCTCAAAATTTTTAGACGACTTTTTCAAAAATGAAATTTTCTACCCATTTTCGACGATTTTTGAAATGTAACTGAATGCATTTTCTTGTAGATTTCGAACTCCAGACCTCATTTCATCGATAACTCTAGCCATGTTTCCAGAATCGCCCATTGAAATATCGTAATTTTTAAAAATTTAAAGAGATTCCAATTTCACTCCGAATATTTCGAAAATATTGCTCCGTGACGCTAAAGACGCTATATTTTTGGAATCAGCTCGTCAAGATGTATAACCCTGAATTTTTTGAAAATTTTTGGACGACTTTTTCAAAAATCAAATTTGCTACCATTTTCTATTTTAAAATTTTCTAATTTTCAGTGTTTTTAGGTTTCACTCTCCCTCATTTTAATCTCTTTTATTTTCAATTTTTCGGTTTTTCTTTTTTGAATTTCCCGATTTTTCAATTTTGCAATGTTTTGATTTTTCACTGTTTCCCTTTCACCATTCATTTTTCAATTGTTCATTTTTCAGTATCTTCATTTTTCAGCTATTAAATTTTTCAATTTTTTGACTTTACAAGTTTTTGAATCAATTTTTAAATCTTCAATTTTTCGATTTTGCCACTTGTC